TGTACAAAATTTATTAGGTATCACTAACATTGGAGGGATGGGAACATATTTGGGGATTCTAGAAAGTCTTGGAGGGGCTAAAATAAAAATATTCAATTTTTTAATAGATAGACAAGGAAAAAGGATTAATGAATGGACATCTAAGTTATTATCGAAAGGAGGTAAAAAGATCCTTATAAAGTCTGTGGCCACTGTAACGCCGACATATGCTATGTCCTGCTTTAGATTGCCGAAAGCAATAACCAGAAAACTTACAAGCATGGTGGCCAATTTTTTGGTGGAGCAATAATGGACATACTCGGGGTATGCACTGGCTTGCTTGGAAGAAGTTATGTAAGTCCAAATCTGACGGTGGTCTAGGTTTTCGTGTTATTGAGGACTTCAACACAGCTCTTTTGGCCAAACAGCTCTGGAGACTTATTGATTATCCGGACTCGCTTTTTACAAAAGTTTTTAAAGGCCGCTATTATAGAAAGGGAACACCATTAGACCCAATTCGTTCTTATTCTCCTTCTTATGGGTGGAAGAGTATTATTTCTGCTAGATCTCTGGTACACAAAAGACTTATTAAAAGAGTTGGTTGTGGTCATTCCATTTCTGTATGGAATGACCCATGGATTCCAGCATCACGCCCGAGATCAGCTTCATGCAATGGGTATAATTATTATCCAGAGCTCACGGTCAACCAATTAATTGACCTAACAACCTTGACGTGGAATTTACCACTACTTGAACAATTGATACTACAGGAGGATATATCCTTGATCACTGGGATGGCAACTACTAGTGAGCAACGTCCAGACACTCTGGGATGAGATTTTACAAAAACAGGAAGATACACAGTCAAGTCAGGATATTTAACGGAGCAACTTTATCCCACAAATGGAGACATTAATATATGTTATGGGCCAGATGTGAGTCAATTATAGGCCCAAGTATAGAAAATCAAATGCCCACCAAAAATGAAACATCTTATATGGCAACTACTTTCGGGATGCTTGGTGGTTCTGGATCGTCTTCGGAGTAGAGGAGTGAGTGATGATCCTCAATGTCTAAGATGTGGAGCGGCCAAAGAAACTATTAATCACACACTCTTCGAGTGCCCACCATCCTTTCAGGTTTGGGCATTGTCACCAATACCTGATATAAGATTGGAATCACTCCAACTTAAGATCACTCAATTATCAAGAGATTCCAAGCTTAAACTTGCGGAAGGTGGGAATGATGGTAGAGATGGAGGATGGATGATGACTGACTCACTCAATCAGTGGGAGAACTAGAGTGTTTGAATCACTCAAACAATCTGATTCGTGGCTTCAATAGTACCAAAGTGAATCACACACTTAAGGACTAAAGAAAAAGTAACAACTTCAAAGACTTTACTTTGAAAAGAAAAACTTCTGTTTATTAAAAATGTATATTCAAGGGTAACTTCTTACAAAGGACGAAATGAGCTTTATATATAGCTCTTACATGAGTAAGTTAAAGTTCTAAAAAGATAGAAACAAGAAAGAAATCAAAGCATTGAATAAAAACTAGCTGTTAGGCCATAATGAGGAAATCAGCCGAAAATATAGAAACTGGGTCTTCTTGTATTGCACGGTTTGAGGGGATAAGTGAGATTCTCTGGGACATTCTGGATGGTAAATAAGACGTCCATACAGCAGCATCTTGGACAAGAGAGCCGTTGGAGAGTAAAGGCTCCAAGTGTGAATGTGTTGAATGCTTTTGTGTCCAAGTAAGGGAAGTGGAAATGATCAAGGATTCGCCTAATCCTCTGGGTGCTGGAGCATGGTAAGACGTCTTGGGTAGCTTCTAAATAATTAATAAACTCTCCTAGTCGCCAAAGTCTTCTTAGTAAATGAATAATCCCAAGAGCTTCCAAATAAGACAGGCTGAACATCATCCGGTTTAGAAGTTGAATAACTTTGAAACCGTAATGAATTTTGGCATGAATCCAATTCGCCTCGGTTCTTTGATGAGTTAAGTTTCCAAAACATCCGGTATCGTGGTTTGTCCGGAAAGAAATATATAGTACTCGCATATCTTCATCGGGTCCATTGAAGATCTGCCAACTTGTATCTTCAATATCTTTCTCATATGAACTCCTTTTTAGCTGATTCTTCTTCGTGATGAACTCTAGGTGAGTTGAGTATGATTTACAAGTCCAGGTTGAGTCTGAATGCACGGAAGGATTGAGGTCTAGAAGGAACAAATCATGAAAGATAGTCTCTCATTTATTCATGACATGTTCCCCAAGGGAGGTCGTCTCTCCTTTACCCTTGGCTAGACCATCATGTCCGTTGATCCTTTGCTCCATTGTTGATGCTATCCTCAATGTTGCATCAATACCTACACCTACACATCAGTTTCCCACGGAGGCTTTATTCTCAAATATGGCAAATTTGTTTTGGAATTACCAAACCATAATGATATGAAAGTTTATCCCTGGCTTTTATGGTATATTTGGAAGATGAGAAACGGCAAATTCTTCTCTAATATTGATCAGGATCCCCGAGAGATAGTAAAACTAGCGATAGCGGAATCAAATATCTGGGAACAGGCACAGACAGAGGACATAGTGGAAAATTTTCCACAGGAAACGCAAATGGAAATTTTTACCCAAACTGGGGTAATCTGCCATACAGATGGATCATGGAAACAAGGGGTACCCAATGCAGGATTGGGCTGGTTTAGTCAAGGTGTGGGTACGGTGGGAACGCTTTTGGGTACGCGTAATGTACGACACAGTATATCACCTCTACATACGGAGCTGGAGGCATTAATATGGGCAATGCATTGTATGCTAGATGCAAGACGAATGTCGGTTGTTTTTGTCACAGACAGTTCTGAACTGGTGAAGATGGTGTCCAATCCAGCAGAGTGGCCGGCATTCTCTCTACATTTGGAGGAATATGAAAGGAGCAAAAGAGAGTTTGTTTTCTTCTCAATCTCAAAGATCCCTCGCGCGCATAACACAAAGGCGGACAAGTTAGCACAGAGTGCTCGAGACTACCTTTATCATCTAAATTATGTAAACTCAACTCCACCAATCTGACTTTCTGAATCATTGTAAGAGTATGAGACTGTTGACAAAAAAAAAAGATCTATTAATACTTAAAGACTACGTTCTTATTATTTTGCTGCAACCACTTTATCATATATTATACATTAATTAATTTAGATTTATCAATTTTTTCCAGGGTTTAACATTCTCTCACTTAGGCATCTCATTAAACAGTAATGACAATATATTTGAATTCACATTCCAATTTTAGGTTTAATTTTCTTCTATAACAAATTCTATAAATTAATATTCGATAAATTAATAAATATAATAAGTTAACAAAAATTTGGTGCTGAATTATATACTAGTTATAAAATCATAAACTAATAAAGTTAAATACAAATTCTTATGTACTTATATGCCCTTTTTAACAACATACATTAATCATTTACGTATATAAACTTACATAAACATAATTAAAATAATTTTATTTTTTGTTAAATATAACTAAAATAATCTACTAAAGTATGATTATAGTGTTTGATGTTTTTTCTTTAAAATGAAGATCATCTCTTATATTTTGGATTGCTTCAAAAAGATTCGCTGTTGTCTTATCGAATTGTATCTGAAACCTGTATCCATACTTTAGAACATTTATACTCGACAAACAAAAATTATTGTTTAAACAAAATCTTAGTGTGTCTTAGTAAACAGAAATATATATATATATATATATATATATATCTCCTTATTGAATATAAAAAAATATCTTCTGATTTAAGTAAAAGTACTTTAGGACGATTATAAATTTAAAGATAATCTTTTATAAATTAATAACAGATAAAATAGAGAAAACCAGAGCTCAATCTTAAATAACAGAGAGATGGCAACAAACAAGGAACACAAGGGTAATTGTTTTTTCTCCTTCTGGAATTAGCAACACACGATGATAAGCGGTTATCCGACATCACACTTTTAACTATTCAAAAGCTCCTCAATTGCAATGTGAAGATCCCAAACGGCCAAACATATATTCCATCCAACTTGCTCATGCTTAAATGATCTACTTTCTTAACGTGACACAAATATTTATAAAATATTCTTCAAGAAAAATAAGCTTTGTTCCTCGTGATCGGCGAAATAGGGTAATGGGGATGAATTGAAAGACCCATGAACATGCACATGCTCTTGTTCCCTAAGCCTCTCATGGGTCCTGAATTTAATAAATTCTTCCCACATAATTAAAATAACTACAGAACCAACAAAAAAAGTCAAATGTGATATCTTAATCTCATCCTACAAAACAAAAAGACAAAAATAGGACGAGAGAATATGAATTCACTAAAAAAATGCATGCACTGTTTATAGTGTTCAATACTTCAATAGAATATCAAAACCTCCCTTTCTCTGCTGGAATATAAAAAAAATTCGACATCTAATATCTTTTAATATATTTCATTATAAGTATATGAAAAATATTTATTAATGAGTATACTAAAAAAATACAAATCTTAGTCTGTAAAGATTTTGATGTGAGTGTTCAGATTCGTGATATTGTTTAACTAAAGGTAAATCATTCAAATTTTTAAAATTGTTACTAACTGGAAAAATATTAAAAGAATATAAAAGACAATTCAGAAGATAGATATTATTGCAAGTAAATTATTTCAACGTAAATTTTTACTGTTAGGAAATTTTATCTAGTGTTAGCATTTCAATTAGCAAAATATTTTTAACTCTACAAAATCACTATCATAATTACACTTATAAAAAATTGATTTCTACTTTAATATATATCAGAGATGAAACAAAACACAGAGATATTAAAGTTTCGATCTTCTCTGGTCAAATACAAATTTGCGACTTCGTTTTCGTAAACAGTTATATTTCCCTATATACCCTCCAATATGAAAAATTACAAACACATAAGATCATAACAATACAAAGTAAAATTTTCAAGAAAACATTATGCATATTGTCCTCAGTTTTTTGTTCATGACCTGTTCTTGCACTTCTCCATGGCTTTTGGAGCTGAAATCAAATTCAGTAAAACAAAAACAAGAACCACAATTGGATCATTTTATGATAATAAAAATATTGAAGTCACTTATCGAAGCTAACAGTGAAGAAACATACCAAGTCCAATCGCTTCGGATCCTTTCATAATGCGCAAGCGTTTGCATGACTCGACAAACATCCTGAAATCGCAATTTGGGTTCTGATTAGGACATAAATCTGGATTATTCACTAAAATCAGAAATGTATTGGAATAAGAAATCTCCAACAATGAATAGAAGTTGATATGTGCCAGCTACAAAAGAGCCAACAAAAAAATATATTATATATATAGAAATTGAGGATATGATGTTCTGTCACATGCCAGCCAAAGCATGGCTGTGCGTATTTGTAACACATGGATTTCGATTATTCTTCAGTCGTTTCTAATAATTAATAAATAATACTTTTTAGCAAAATAATAATAATAATAATAATAATCATAATTATAAATAATATTGATTTATTCGAGTTAGAGATTAATTAGTTTATTGCTCGTTACTATTGATGAAAAATACTTTATTTTAAAAAGAGAAAGAAGCAAATAATGAAAGCAAAAAAAATGGAGGAAACTCACGGCCAGGGGACATCACCAACGAGCATCCAGTCACCATCTTTGTCCTCGTAGCTTGGAACATATTCAGAACTGTTTAATAGATCCATCACTTTGCTCTCGTTCATAAAATCTATCATCCCTTGTGCTCCATAACTCCCTTTAAAATTAATCAAAGTCCCCAAATTTATCATATTAGTCTTATATCATATAAAGATTATGACTTCATCTTCATGCCGCAAAACAAAAAAGAAGTGTTGACTTCAAATTTTATGTGTAAAAAGTTTGCGTCTACGTTTAAAGAAAAAAGGTGCAAACGGGTCATATTTCTAAAAACAGAAAACATGTTCAGTTTTTATCAAATATTTTTGCAAAATGTAAATGCAAACTCAAGATACATCATTTTGTGTCTGGCGTTTACGTTTAGAATTAGCAGTTTCTTTTTATTTCAGATGTTAAAAACTTGTGAGTTCATTTGAAAATAATATATAGACGGTAAACGTAAAAGCAAACAGACAATCTTAAGCTATATGTGTAAATACGCACCCATAGTAAAGGAGCTGAACATTTTGGCCAAGGCATCAGAGAGATCCTTGTAGCTTTTGTACATCCTGAGGTCAACCTTTCGAAGATAAGGAGCTCCATCCATTGAAACTTTCACAAAGGCGACGGTTCCTCCACCGCCGCTCGATGCCTCATCAGCTCCGCTGCTCTTCTGGTGAGCCATAACACTTTTTCGGTAGTTCCTAACCGGTGGCCAACCAACCACTTGTGCTCTACATAAAATATAAAGAGACGCACCCAACAGTGTCACTATTTAATGTACCGTAATTTTTTCATGCATCTGTAGTTCATGAATTATATATTTATATAGGAAAATTTGTTTTATTTTAAGGAATTCTGTAAATGGAACTTACTTAGCAGGAGGCTTAGCAGGATCTTTGAGGAGGTTCTTCTCCTTGGGAGCTCCGGCAACGTTGAGATCCACATGTTCTTGTTTGTTAGAGTGAAGATTGAGTTTGAGATCAACTGTCTCAGAGAAGCCTCTCTTATTCCCCACACCTGATTTGGTCGGAGTCTCCACGGTTTCTGTTCCTCCGGGGAGGCCAAGACAGAGCTCCGTCTCCTTAAGGTTCATCAACTGTTGTTCCATCATCTCTTCTTTCTTCTTCTTTTTTTGTTTGTTTTGTTTATTTGTTCTTAATATTCTCTTTATCTCTCTCTTGTTGGGGTGAAGTTGATAAGAAGGGAAGAGGAAAGGGGGAAGGAGTGAAGAGTCGAAAATATAAGGGAAGAGAGTGGCTATAGGCTATAGCGGATTAGCGGTAATGAAAAAAAAAATCTTGTCTGATTCTATAACAAATATTTAATTTTCGTTTTAATAAAAAAAGAGAGAGAGAAGATTGGTCTATTGTGTATTTGCATGTGCATGTAATCCCTACATTTTCTTGATATGTGGGCTCTCAACACGTGGTTCTTTTACTAGACTTTGGTAGTTAACAGCAAATCTAACTATTTTGTGTCCAACAAGAAGAGAAAGTCCAAATTATATGTAATGTTTACTTTCATTCGTTTTATTTTTCGACTGGCCAAACATTGATTGATATAGTTTCATCAAGTTATTAAATATATTGGTGTTATTAAAGTATTGAAAGATCGTGTAAGAAAAAAGGTGTACTTCTATGATTAATGTTTTTTTTTAATTGCCTACCAATTCAATTTGTTAGACGTTGCCTCCATATGGTCAACTGTTCACATGTATATACTACTATACAACAAGTGGAATTGGAGTTAATTCCATTAATCATATTTGGTCAACATTTTTATACGATTAATCGTATTTGGTCTCACGGGCGTTCACGTTTAATCATGCTTCCTAAAATATCGAAGTAAGTCATTACGACCAACTATGTTTAATCCTAATTAAGACGTACAACAAATAATCAATGATACCAATCTTCGTAAATATTTTACTTTAAGTTGGACCATCTTCTCTCAACATCTTCCTGAATTTCCGTGAAATAATGGGGCAACTTTCGGAAAATATGCTTGTTCAGTTATTGATTAATCATTATTAAATTGCATAATGATTTCAAAGTATTCTTGTTTTCCGAACCTTCTTCCAATCATGTGGTTCAAGTATAACCCACATGAACGTATAATTTGTCCGACGGAAAGGGTGGGTTAGTGACTATTTATTTGCATGCTCAATGCATTTTCTTAGTTTAGTAGTAGTATCATAAGCAAATTGCATATCAATGATTTAGTTTAATCATTGGATACCACAAAGAATAAGAATAAATAATTGGGCCGTTCACAGCTTAAAATAAAAATAAAGAGCACATGGATTTTACTGGCTACCTCAATATAATTATACCACCCATAGTTTTTGTGGTCAGGGGATAATGATTATTTCTTAGATACATTATAAAATTCCTACGATACCTAACTCAATATTTTTATAACCCAGTACTGGATACTTTGCTTGAACCATATCCAGCAAAAAGTATGATATTCAAATCTGATGAACATATTAAAAGGTTACAGTATAATTAAGTATCAGTTATTCAGGATCAATTTAATTATTTTCTGCATGATACATAATGTTCATCCGAATTGATTATCTTGCATAATATCCCGGCTGATTATCTTGATAAGAATGCTCAAACCCATGATTTTTTTTTTTATATAAACTCATTTCTTTCGAGAGACATTTACTAAGAAAGACACTTTTAAGAAAGCAATTGCAAAATAAAGCACTTAAAAGAAGTGAGGCATTTTAGCTTACTATTCATACATAATCTGCTTATTTTATCTTTGACAAAATCTTTCAAATTTGTTGAAGCTGGTGTTATGGACGGACGATGATGGATGGCGATATCATGGATTACATATGTTGATTAGCAATGACCAATGGTGGATGAACAATGAACAATGATGGATGAATAATGGTGAATGAGCATTGGTGGATGAAGAGTGGTGAATAAACAATAGTGGATGTGTAGAGGAGAATGAGAATGGAAAACTTGCACAATATCGATGAATGTTGTGGATAATGCTTCGATAATGTGTATAAATTTTAGACACATGGATTGAGAATCATGGACAAGGTATATGACACGATATAATTTATCGGGAATGAAGTATATGACACATGATCATGGACGAGTTTGAAAAGACTAAGCATGGATGCTGTACTTATGAATGATTACGTTTAATTATTATAAATCTTGTATACAGTTTCATGTTGATAAGAAAGATACATGCCCTATCATATGTTGTCCACGAAGGTTCATCCACGAAAGACATATAAAATGGGTAGACAAATTTAAACAATACATTTTTAGTTGTTCATGAAGGCTCATCCACGTGAGCATGAGTTTCATCCATACACATTCGTCCACAACGGGAACAATTGTCCATGAAGTTGTATACGAAGGTTCATCCATACATATTTGTTCACAGTGGAACCAATTGTCTACGAAGGTTCATCCATGCACATTCATCCACAACAGCTATTATCACTTAAGGATAAAAATATCTTTTTACACACCTTAAGTGCCTTAATCTATCAAAATGCTTTAATTTGTAAATTCAGTTTGGCAAATTATCTTTCTTAGTAAATTTCTATTCTTTCAGAATGACTGGTTTTTGAATCTTACATCTTTGAATTTTAAATTAATGCATTTGCATCGATTAAAATTAGATATGGGTTGGATCATTCAATGAAGTGTACTAAACAAAAAAAAATCTCTCTTCTCTCGTATTCAACCAAAAAAAAAAAGTTCTGAGTATAAGTTCTTTCTGAGTTTGAATAATACTTGAGAGACTTTTGTCTCTGGTTTTTAACTAAAGTTTAATGAAAAATACTGATTTGTTTTAATTTTAGTGGTTAGTATGTTTAGTTTGACCAATTTAAATGTAACGTGTAAATGATGACACGATGATATAATTGTGACATGTCAATTTTTAGTATATATAGCTTATGACATGATATTATTTAATATATATATAAAATTTGATGTTAAATTTTTGATATGAAATTTAAGTATCTAAGTTTTTAGCGAAAAATTTGGGAAATGAGATTTTTGTTGACATAAAATATTTGTCGGGAAATTTACGGATATTAATTATTTGGTGGGAAAATTTGTGGCACTCTATTTTGCCAAAATCACCAAAAAAAATTATGAAAACCTTTTAAAATCACATTTTTAAAGTAATTCTATGATAGACAATTTATGCATTCACTTTTGTGGTGACAAATTTACAGATTCACTATTTAAACAAAAAGTTATATTTCATCCTGAACGTGAAGCTTCTGAAATCATATTTTGTCTTCACAGTTGATTTTTTTATATATAATTTATGGATTCGAGTATTTGGAGAGAAATTTGTGTCAATCAATTTTGACATAAAGTTTTTAAATCACATTTTGACAGTATTCATAATTTTGGCGGAAAATTCACAAAATTAGAGTTTTGACAAAAAAAGATTTTAAAATTTTCGATGGAAATTTTATATCTCAAATTTTTTGAAGTTACATTTTAAATGTGAAGTTTTGGTAGAAATTTTCATAGATTCACTTTTTGGCCAAAAATTTACGGAATCAAAATTTTTACAAAATGTTTTTGGAATCACTTTTTGACGTAAATATTTTGTGGGAAAGTTTCAAAATCATATTTTTGACAGAAAATTTCTGGAATCAAATTTTCATGAATTTATTTTGAAATCATAAGTAAGTTTTTGGCAAAAAATTTACTGCTTCATTTATTTGGCGGGAAGTTCATGTAATCAAATTTTTGAATGGTAGTTTTTAGAATAACATTTTTAATATAAATTTTCTGGCGAAATATCTTTTATGGTTTCACTTTTTGGAAAGAAATTCACAAAATCGAAATTTTAAAAAAATATTTTTTGAATAATTTTTTGATTTATTTTTTTACGAGAAAGTTACTTATTCCCATTTTTTACAGAAAATTTGCGTAATCGGGTTTTTGACTGAAACCATTTAGAATCTTATTTTTAAATAAGTTTTTGAGAGGATATTTGCAAGTTCAAGTTTTTTGTTTGAAATTGGTGGAGTCAGATTTTTGAGGGATAATTTTTTAACTTTTATTTTCATCTCATCTTGTTTCATTAAAAAAAGAATAAAAGTTTATATTATTCCAATTATATAGTAAGAATAAGGAATCAGAAATGGGACAAAAGGACGAAATAAGAAAAAAAATTACAAGAAAAAAAAATATGAATACAAAGTAAACAAGAGGAAGAATAATGGAAATTATTAATATTTTATGTTTTTTAAAAAAACTGTTTTGAGTTATGTACATTTTATTTTTTTCTATATATAATTTTTGAAACCTATTATAATATTTTTCCACAAACCAAAAGTTTATACAAATATAATAATTAACAGACCGATCACTTATTTATTGTAAATGATAAATATTATTATATAATATTATTATTAACAATTGTTTTATCAAGCATATATACATATGAGCTAACGATCTAGTTCAAAATATTTGGCAAAGATTTCCATATTTAGATATGAATGATGATATTTGTATTTTAGGATAAACATTTTTTGGATATCATATATAGGTTAAAATAATGTTATAGCAAGTAATATTTCACAAAAATCCTTTTTTATGCGATAATTTTATAAGAAATTTGATGAACATTTTAAAAGGTTAAAGTATAATTAAGTACTAGTAAGATGTTCGGTTATCATCCTTTTAAAAGGTTATATAGTATAAAATCATCATTTTTGTTTTTTAATATATTCAGTTATTATCATTTGTTCGGTTAAACATCATTTATACAATAATAATGTGATGAAAGATTCTAACTCTATGCAATCAAAAGTAGGACGAACAAACTCAAAAAAAAAAAAAGTAGGACAAACAACTACGACATACATCTTTAAATGCACCACATGCACGATAAAGATCATTATGAACAGTTGTTCTTGCACAATGCTATAAATCTTTGGTAAATTTGCTTCCTGTAGACTGTAAGTTTTGCATCCTTCAGGAATCAAAATCCAAACCTAATGTAAAAGTATTGATAAACACTTGATCAACTAAAACAATTTCATACTGCCAACAACACAAAGAACAATTATAATAACTCAATCTCTAACCCATATCCACA